TCTTATTTCTTATTTATTAAAAATTAACTGTTTCTATTTGATTGGCCTTGATGGAAAACTAGGTCAATATGAAGGACTTTGCAATGGTTGAATTGCCGTAATGTAATCAAGTTCAGTAAAAGTGAAATCTATAGCAAAGAAATATATTTATTTATTTGTGCATGTAAGAAAGGATTGGGTGATAAATAAAAAGTAAAAAGAAAACTCGGCAGAGCCTCTTGTGTTGATATGTTTTGATATCAAAAAAGACACGCAGGAGATTCTCTATATTACCCTTTGGATCAACTGGCGTGGTTTCGATTTCTCGGTTGTACGTGACAAGGAGTAGGGTCCAACTTCGTGGGTTATCTCCGGACAGCAGCGCTATGCATACTCTGCCGACGAATGCAGTTTCTCCAAACACACACTCTCTCTATCTCTCTCACACACACACACACATAACCCCACCCAACGACCCCCATTTGAACAGAGACTAGCAATTCAAACAGCCTAATTCAAGTTAGTTCTAGGTGCAGTATGGAACGGTATATCACCCCCGCCCACGCCTTTCATTTGGGCCCGACTAATATTCTAATTAGATCCATGGCATTCACTGGTTTATAATAAAAAAAAAAATCAAAAAAAAAATAATCGACACTCCATTATCCTAATGTTTATAAGCACACGGAGTCCAAAATTGCGGGGTGTTGACCGTCTTGATTTTTTTCTGCTTCGGTCAAAGGTATCTACGAGCTCTAAAGTCATTTTTATTTTTATTTAGGTGATTTTGCTAGCTCATGGCCGATTACTTATTGGTGCTTCTGCCCCAAAATCTTGAGTTTTCTTCAACAGCTGACCAGAAATTTAAACATTCGTCATACAAAAGGGGAGGGGGGGGGTATAAATATACGAACTATATTCGTGAAATCAGGGAAACAATTACTTGCCTTGATCAATAACCTTTCATTGATCTGCAGTAGTTCGGTATATCTTTAACACACATCTTAATACACATACTGGGATTTCTGGCTCGCGCAATATTGTGCTCTTGCTAATATCAATATTGTGTGATTGCTAATATCAATATTGTGACCTTGCTATATCAATATTGTGCACTTGCTAAAATTAATATTGTGCGCCAGCTAATATCAATAGTGTGCTCTTGTTAATATCAATATTATGCGCTTACTAATATTAATATTGTGCGCTTGCTAATATCAATATTGTGCGCTTGCTAATATCAATATTGTACACTTGCTAATAATATCAATAGTGTGCGCTTGCTAATATAAATATTGTGCGCTTGCTAACATCATCAATATTGTGCTCTTGCTAATAATAGCAATATTGTGCTCTTGCTAATCAATATTGTTGATTGCTAATATCAATATTGTGCGCTTCTAATATCATCAATATTGCGAGCTTGCTAATATTAATATTGTGCGCTTGCTAATATTAATATGTGCACTTGTTAATATAAATATTGCGAGCTTGCTAATATCAATATTGTGCGCTTGCTAATATCAATATTGTGCGCATGCTAAGTTACTATGTAGGTTGTATATTTTGTTAACAGTGCATATTATTCGCATTATCTAGACCGAGGGACGCTATTGTTCTTGCTAACCCAGCAAGGATTGTTTTTATAAGTTATTGTTTCAATTATTGATTGCTTGTTCAGAAACGTTATTGTGTTATTATGAATAAATAAAATGGCTTCCGTATTCTTAATATCTCATCTTTTACCGTGTACACCAGGGGTCGTGTGATTTACCTTTTATCATCGGATGGTGGGATGGGATTGACATTCAAAGCGCGAAGTAATGATATAGAAATGTGTGATATCACAATTAAGGCTTTGCATCAATGAAATTGAATCACAATGTAATCCTATTAATTCATTGTAAAAGTTGACATCAAACGGGGTGTTGGATTTCTCTCCCTAAAAAGCTTAATGTGTATGTATGCCTACATAATTTAAAGACGATGATGACATCATGCATTGTCAACTGTCAAATTTCCTTAATATGAGCCTGGCAAACCCCCTCTCCAGCAAACATTTCTGGATCCGCTCCTGTAAAAGCTGGCATGCACATAAAAGAACCCTTGAGAGTTGAAATTTGAAATAAGAGTAGCACATTGCATGGCGTATGTCTGTCTTCATTAGCCAGGATGAAGCAGAAAAGTAGGACGATTCGGTGCATGGAAGACAAAATCAGTAAGGTGGGAATTAAATGTTGACTCTTCGGGAAACCTATACTATCGTTCTATGTTGTTATCTATAGGCATTCCACTACACAAGAAGAAAGTAAGACGTGTTCGATCCCTGTGTTGGCCAAGAAAGTTATCGGATTTTCCCGCGTTGTTCCATCTTGCCAGTGGTGCAGGACGGAGGGCCTGACCAGTGTCAACGTATAGTATAATCGTTCGGATGGGACGAAAAAACGAGGTCCCGTGTACACATTGGCGTGCACGTAAAAGAACCCTTGACAGTTGGAATTCGATATAAGAGAAGGCTGTAGCGCCGTTGTCCGGACAAAACTGATCCCATAGTACACTGAATGACGTATGCCCGTCTTCATTAGCCCAGTCGGAGCAGTAGGAGGTTAAACTCCATTTCTTTTCATTTCATTTCATTTTAAGCGACAAAAAAACCACGGAACATCATATTGTTGACTTTTTCTATAAAGATTTTTTTTTTATTTGTAGAAAGTAATGTTCCGCATACCCTTTTTTTTTTCTTCTATGGACAAAATGTCTAAGAGAAATATCTGTGTGTTTTTGATATTGATTTCGAGTCGAATCTTGATTAATGAGTTCTCTCTGATCTCCCAACAAAATCTTCAAACGCTGACTGACACATCAACTAAGCTGTCTCTATCGTAACCAAATCCTCTTATAAACTCCATTATTACACTCTTCAACATGGCCTTATCCCACACCGCTCATGATCGCTTCAACATGGCCTTATCCCACACCGCTCATGATCGCTTTATACGCTATATACGTACTGAGCCGAATAGGGGTTTTATTGCAAGTCGCGTCATTTTTTATCACAAATAATTTGTTCAGGAAACTAAATGGGAAAATATGTAGAAAATAAAATAAATGGAATGTGCTGTATAAGGAGACATCAAAGCTGAATATGAAGGTTCGCTGCAACTTGATAATTCAAACAAACATTATCGGGAAGCAATGGCGGATACATTAAGCTTTTAAGATACACAATGCATTCTGTTTTTTTCTAAGGATGGCGGGGGTGCAGTTTTAAGCCCTCCACACATAAAACTTACTAAAAAATACACTTTGCTCTGTTTCTGAGTAGTTAACGTTTTAAATTGTGGTATATTGCTAAAGATTTGACATAAGCCATTAGTAATAAACAAAGGGTCGTTTAGTGTTATTGGTTTCTGGTAGGCGGCGTGAGCGATCAGTTCCGGTAGATCTCGCCAATTTAAAATTAAAAGTTTTCCGTGATATTTCCGCGGGGTTCGGGGGGGGGGGGGAGAGGTAAACCTCCCTCCTTGAAACTTAATAAAAAGTACACTTTAGCCTTTTTCCTGAATAGTTTACGTTTTAAAGTAGTATCTGAAGATTTGACAAAAGCCATTAGTAATAAGCAAAGGGTGTCTTAGTGTTATTGGTTTCTGGTAGGCGGCGTGGGCGTTCAGTTCCGGTTGATGTCAACACGCATGTTCATTATTTAACGATTTTTCCGTGGTATTTTAATGTTTATACGGGCACACAGATTCGATATGAATAAAAATGCACTCCAGACACAATATTGTGTCATTCAAATATGGCTTTGTTTCGACCTTGTGCCGGAAGAACCATCACAACATTCCGAGCCCGGTATTCATTGAAGCTGACAAAGAAATTTTATCTAGTTAGATGAGATGGGCGAAAAACCGAGTAAAAGCTCTCTTTGCAGTTGGAATGTATCCGATCGAAATTCTATCCCTATTGCAAACGTTACCATAGAGATATAAATTACCATATCTTATTCTCAGAAGCTAATACACGATTAACATGTCGACGAGATGACGTTAAATCCCAAATATTGTATTTGTCTACGCGACAATGGACCTCGACTGTTCGTCTCATCCGCTGTCCCTTGTAACGCCCACCGTCCTGTATCACCGAAAAGTGGGAACCATCACTATGATAGAACACGGGACCTCCAGGTTAGCGAGCCAGCGTCCTACTCACGGCGACACAACGGCTTCTTTTTATTTACAACAGACAAAAATGGCGATGGGAAGTCAGTAGAAACTAATCCGAACATTAAATGGTCATGGGGGGGGGGGGGGGGGGTGAATGGCTGAATGGTTAGCGTGGGCACGCTGTATCATAAAGTCTGTCGTTGAGTCAACTGCCGTTGTTTCGAATCCCCGGTTGTACGTGACAAGGAGTAGGGTAGCCTGTCCAACCTCGTGGGTTTTCTCCGGGTCCTCCGGTTTCCCCCCACTGCTAAAGACCCCTACGCGCAAGCGAATTATTGAAATAAAATTAAACCATATGTTAGTCCAGAAATGACCTAGTTTGTGTCAAGTGGACGTTAAACTCCATTTCTCTCTCTCTCTCTCTCTCTTTAAATGGTCATAACTTGGACTGATCGATTTCAGTGAAATGAAATGAAATGGGGTTTAACGTCCTACTGTTCTGCTCCAACTGGGCTAATGAAGACGGTCATACGCCATGCAGTGTGCTATGAGGGAAATTTTGGCCGGACAGAGGCATTACGGCTAACTTTTATTTCGAATTCTAACTGTTAGGGTTATTTTACTTGCACACCAATGTGCACAGGGGACCTCAGTTTTACATTCCATCCGAACGACTATACTTTGTTCCATATTTTGCATCGACTGGGCTAATAAAGACGATGATCGAATTGAATAATTTTCTACCAGAATTTTTATAAATGCATCATTGATTTTGCCTAGTCTTATAGCTTTTATTCTGCCATGTTTGAATTGCATTGATTTGTTTTTAAAGTGGGTTATTTTCTAATGTTTTTTCAGATTAGTTCACAAGCAGCAAGACGAAAAATCGTTGGTAAAATATGACGAATTGGACGAAGCTTACTCCGAGGAGGAAGAGAAACCGGAAAAATCGGCTTCTTCTTATGTACCGAGTCGGTGTCCCTGTTTAAAATGTGATATGTCCAAACGGTATCAAATTGCTCTGCTGAGTAGTGTAGGATTTGTGTTATCGTTCGGTATCCGGTGTAATCTTGGCGTCGCCATTTTGAGTATGACGAAGAATGAGACAATACAGTTTACTGGGGATAGATCACAATTTAATAGCACAGTTCAGGTAAGATAACTCTAACATCAGATCATGATTTGGGCGGAAGTATTTCTTTCGTGTCCGAATTTAACTCCATGTAACTTAATGCCCTTTGCAACCATATTGTGCAGAGATAGAATTTGGGTTAAACGTCCACTTAAAACAAATTAATCTACTCCGCCCCCCCCCCCCACCTCCTCTCCTGTACAAATGCAATTTTTATGCATTTTCTTGAATATTCGTGGATGAATCAATAAAAACAGGAATCGTGTTGATAGTTAATGTTTCTATATTTTTTGGTTAACAATTCGTCGCTTTTCTGTGGACATCAAATAATAACATTCATTTGTGATTTAATAGTGCATACATATACATCAGGACACCGAAAGCCATTTACATAAATGTTATTATTTGATGGCTACAGAGATAACAACGGAACGCAAATTTCAAACGCATACTTCTCAATACTTAAATATATCAGATTCGTCGGTTCGCCAGAAACGCGACGAATTAATCAAAATAAATTACAGCAGGCAATTAGTGTAACAAATAGTAGATAAGCTACAATATGGATATGGGAATTGACATAAACTTGTGTCTCCAAATATCCAAATATATGTCAATAAGATATGTCCCTATGATTAGGAATGTGATCTAACTTAATCTCCTATAGCATTAATCATATAATCTATCGTCTATACAAACAAGTTAATTGTAATTTATAAGAATACTGTAATACTAAGATTAAAACAAAGAATACTGGAGACAGTGTTGGGGGAAACTACATTCGTCGGCAGTTGGAATTCTATGTAAGAGTAGACCATAGCGCCGCGGTCCGAGTAAAATTTCCTTCATAGCCCACTGTATGTCGCATGCCTGTCCTTATTAACCTAGTCGGAGCAGAACAGTAGGACGTTAAACCCCATTTCATTTCATTTCCATTAGCCTATAATAAGAGAGAGAGAGAGAGAGAGAGAGAAAGAAAGAGAGAGAGAGGGAAAGAGAGAGAGAGAGAAAGAGAGAGAGAGAAAGAAAGAGAGAGAGAGAGAGAGAGAGAGAGAGAGAGAGAGAGAGAAAGAAAGAGAGAGAGAAAGAAAGAGAGAGAGAGAGAAAGAGAGAGAAAGAAAGAAAGAGAGAGAGAGAGAGAAAGCGAGAGAGAGAGAGGGGGGGGGGGGTAACGTCACACGACAGAAACTAGGTCATTTTGGGATTAGGACACGCTACTTGACTCAATGACAGAACGTCAGATCCAACGCGCACGCGTTAACCATTCGATCAGATATTGTTCGATCAGCGGTTTTATTGGGTTGCATATTAAAACTTTACACCGTGGAATCGGAGACATTTTTATTGGCTATAAGTTTACGGCCTTTGCGTGATCTTTCGTAATTGATAAAAAAAAGAAAAAAATGAATAATTTAATATTTATCAATCGAAAATAACATTTACCAAGATAAACGGAATCAGCCGAGGTGATCACAATGATTTCAATCGGTCACTAATTACAATTTTACATGTTAGTGGCTGGAGATAATATACCAATCGCTAACAGAGACGGTGATGGGGCTGTCAAGAATAGGTTTTTCAAGATCTCGGCAACCATTCGGGAATTCAAATTTAGATATTACTAGTGGATATATTATAGCAAATACATCACCCTCGGTCCCACCATACCCCCGTTCCCTCCCCCACCGGTCTGTAACAAAGTTAAATTAGCGGGAAAATAATGGTTTGTCGGGAATAGTCTTCATAAGATCTCGACAACCATTCAGTAATCTGATTTCACAGGGGTTGCGATGATTTAAATGCGCATATCTGGGGAATCACGTGGCTAAGTGGGTAAGACGCTGGCGCGCTAGCCTGGAGGTCGGGTGTTCGATCCCTGCATTGGCCGAGAAAGTTCATCCAGATTTTCCGGCGTGGTTCCCCCTTGTCAGTGATGCAGGACGGAGAGCCTGACAAGGACAGCTGTCTAGTCCTTCGGATGAGACGAAAAACCGAGGTCCCGTGTATACATTGGAATGCACGTAAAAGATCCCATGGCAGTTGGAATTCGATATAAGAGTAGGCGATAGTGCCGTTGTCCGGGCAAAATGTCCCTCATAGCACACTGTATGGAGTATGCCTGTCTTCATTAGCCCAGCATAGGAGTAGAACAGTAGGACGTTAAACCCCCATTTCATTTCATGCGCATATCTAAACCCACAGTATAAATGATGGCCTATTTCCGTATTTAGAAAGATCTTTCAAATTGTTTACCTTTCTGAAACAATTATCATAAACAAAGAAATCAATATGTCATAGAACGATTAATGTGTCCACGTTGCTGTGTATTAATGCGACTTAGTAGCCTACGTTCTTTGGAACAAAAACAAAACAACTCATGGTAAAAATGAATATCTTCTTCACTTTTATTTAATATTTATTTAATAGGGTGATATCGTAGACAATATACATGTTTAAAATACAGATGTGACGTCATCCTTTGATGTTGGTGTACCATTATTTCAGTTAATAATGGGTGGGCAACTTGCCAATCGTACATTATTTATACTAGTGAAATATTAGACTTGCGTGACGTATTTCATTGAAAAGCACGTGCGGAATAGTGTCTGTATTTTAAGAAGCTTAATGGTCAAGAGCTAAAGACATTGCGTAATAAATTGAAACAACACTCGGCTAACGCCTCGTGCAGTATCAATATATTACTTAATGTCTCGCTCTCGACCATTAAACTATACATACAAGTTCACTTTTATTTAATAACTACCTTACATAACACACACACACCCACCCACACACCCACACCCACACACACACACAGGTAATGTCCGCTTCTATCCATGGCAATATCGCAGACAATATACAAAAGTTAATGATCAATGCTTCTTGTTGTTCTTCCTTGTTGGGTTTAACATCCACTTAAATATAGGATAAGATGAAATCGCAGACTTGCCTAATGGAGCAATCATGTCTGAGAGGCTAGTCTAAACAGGTAGGCGAGACATACAAAATGCCACTCCCATTCCCTTGAGATAAATGTCTATCAAATCAGGTTATTTTTATCTATTTTGGCTTATCTATGTTCGTTATCAGTATAACAACAACTTATATATATGCCTTTTGTTCTTTTTGTTATTAATATTTAATCATACTTCCACGTGTAAATTAGTAGCTTCTTAGCTTAACAAAGAAATATACAGTATAACAATTTATATATATACCTTTTGTTGTTTTTGTTATTAATATTTAATCATACTTCCACGTGTAAATTAGTAGCTTCTTAGCTTAACAAAGAAATATACAGTATAACAATTTATATATATACCTTTTGTTGTTTTTGTTATTAATATTTAATCATACTTCCACGTGTAAATTAGTAGCTTCTTAGCTTAACAAAGAAATATACAGTGTTATGTAGATTTCCGAGATATCAGCGTTATATCATATCAACTGTCGTGTATTAATCACCGCTGACCTTTGGTGTGGAAGGGAATGTCCTATGTAATTCTTGTTTGATTGAATTCCTCCGCCTAGAGTTCTTTCCAGCTTGAAATTTAGCGTGGAGAGACAATCCGGTTTGGCGAGTAGCGCAGAAATAGAGAATCTCTTACTCGTCTTTTTTGATATAAAAAAAGACGAGTATGATATTTCATTCACCACCCAACCCTTATGGAACCTGATTACATTACGGCGTAATGGTACATCACATTTTGACAGCAGTTCAACCGTGCCAAAGTCCTTTATACTGACCAGCTGTTTCCTTTAAGATTAATTCGAAATTTAAATTAAATAAAAGTAGTTCCTTTGTAATAAAAAAGGGTAGTTCCTTTGTAATAAAAAAAGGTAGTTCCTTTTTAATAAAAGTAGTTCCTTTGTAATAAAAAGGTAGTTCCTTTGTAATAAAAGTAGTTCCTTTTTAATAAAAGAAGTTCCTTTTTAATAAAAGAAGTTCCTTTTTAATAAAAGTATAGTTCCTTTTAAATTGGTCAATCAACCTCATGTAAAGCGATATCGTCTACGGAGATATCGCTCAGTAGATTATGATATCTACTGTAGAATGTTTTATTGGGTGATAACGTCCAATAACTACAGGCCAGTAGAACACAGGATGAACCTTTTGAATATAAGCTGTAAGTGTATATTCATAGAATTGTGGCCCGTGTCTCAATAGTAATTGTATCCCATAGAATGGTGTCTTTTGAAATATATTTGAGTGCACGTAAAAGATCCCTTGGTAATTGGAATTCGATATAAGAGTAGTCCGTGGCGCCGCTGTCCCTCATAACACACTGTATGGCGTATACCCGTCTTCATTAGTCCATTTCGGAACAGAACAGTAGGACGTTAAACCCCATTTCATTTCATTTTATATTCTCCCTTTTTGAAGTATTTTTGGCATTGCTCCTTTAAATTGTGGCGGGGGTGGGCGAATTATCTAACGCGTGAGCTTTAAATCCTATGGTATGTCATTGTGTCAAACCACGTGGTTATGATCTCACACTTGTACGTGACAAGGAGTAGGGTCGCTTGCCTAGCTTTGTGGTTTTTCTTCTGGTCGTCCGGTTTCCCCCTACTACTAAAGAGACGCGAGCAAATTATTGTAATAAAATACTACCAAATGTTAGTCCTGTAATGACCTAGTCTGTGTTGATTGGAAGCTACTCTCTCTGAGTCAACTGGCGAGGTTTCGATTCCCTGGTTGTACGTGTCAAGGAGTAGGGTCGCCTGTCCAACCTCGTGGGTTTTCTCCAGGTCCTCCGGTTTTCTCCCACTGCTAAAGACCCCTACGCGCAAGCGAATTATTAAAATAGAATTGAACCATATGTTAGTCCCGAAATGACCTAGTTTGTGTCGAGTGGATGTTAACCCTCTTTCTATCTCTCTCCTTTATCACCAGTATGAAATAACGTGCGTAATACACAGGGGACAATCCATGTTACACGTGACATTTAATACACTTTTTACACCCATTTTGTCATATTTATTCCCCAGAAACTTTTATGACTCGCACCAAATTATGTTTAACGTTTGTTTTATAATTATTTCACGAATTAGTATTGTCTTATTATGAATTGGTCTGGTAGTTTGTGCTGTAATCTTGGTAAAAAGGAAATTAAAACGCCATCGATTGATCCTATGTAATACGAAACTTAATTACAAATACATGAGATTATCATAGACTAATGGAATGAAATGAAATGGGGTTTAACGTCCTACTGTTCTGCTCCCACTGTGTTAATGAAGACGGGCATATGACATACAGTGTGCTATGAGGGAAATTTTTACTCGGTCAGACAGAGGCGCTATAATGGTCTATTCTTATATAGAATTCCAACTGCCGACAAATGTAGTTACGCCCAACTCTCTCTGAAGGGCTGTCATTGAGTCAAGTGGCGTGGTTTCGATTACCACTTGTTCGTGCAAAAGTAAGGTCGCCTGTCCAACGTCGTTGATTTTCTCCGAGTAATCCGGTATCCCCCCACTGCTAAAGACCCCTACCTACGCGCAACGTCTCTCTCTCTCCCTCCCTCTCTCTCCCTCCCTCTCTCTCTCTCTCTCTCGCTCGCTCTGTAATATTTTTCGATATACGATCCTGTCACAATATATAGTTGAAATTCGACCATGTTATAAAGTATCTGAACTTAATGAAATATAGGCTGATATTAATACCTGCACGTATCAACAATAAATACATATATAAATAATATATACCCGATGCTTCTCTCATACTTCATCAACACACCCATTTCAACACTGACCGTTATAACTCTGAGATGATTTATATAACTTTTGACATTTCTAATACCTTAGTATTATACAATGTTCCATTGATTTTATTTCGTTTTTCATTTTGTGTAAAGTCTGTATCACTACTCCGATTTCCTCCCAGTGCTAAAGACCCCTACGCGCAAGCGAATTATCGAAATAAAATTCAACTATGTGTTAATCCCGAAATGCGAAATGACCTAGTTTGTGTCGAGTGGACGTTACCCCCCCCCCCCCCTCCCCTCTCTCTAACTTGTGCTATTCACATACCTGTATCATTTGCTTGATAAAGACGAGCATATCCTCGTCGGAACGTCGCTTAGTATCAAACTCAGTATCCATAACATTGTACATTGTGTTATATTCTTAAAGAAACATTATGTATATTCTTAAATGGCGAACCGTTCTAATCTAGTTAAAATCCCGAGTATCCGATGCCATCGATAGTTAATTATGGCCTTCTTTTCTTAATGAATGTCTAATTAAAGATACATTATGGGAGATTCGATAAAGAGTTGGCAGTTCTCACTATAATAATTAAAAACTAGATAACGTAAAGGCAATTTGCTGAAAATTTCATTCAAATTGATCCACTATGAACCGAGAACTAAGCGAATGCAATTTCTGCCTAGCCTCGGTCATCATTACTAAAGTCAGTACGATAAACAGCATAGTCTCGATTATCCATTTAATCGTTTAATCGAGAAGGAAAGTTATGCAGTAAATCGGCTCACAATCCACTTAAGATCGCAGGCTTGCGATGCCATCTAGAGTTGATTATGGTCTGGATAAGTTAATTAATGTCTAATTAATAATATAGATAACATTTCAGGCCTAAAGAAAGACCTGCAATAGACAGATTTAGCTCTTGCATAATGTACGTTTAATATGATTAATACAATGACGTCATTATTAATATGACGTCATAATGTATGTTTAATAAATGTTTATATAACATTTCAGGTCTAAAGAAAGACCTGCAGATTTAGCTCTTACATAATGTATGTTTAATATGATTAATACAATGACGTCATTATTAATGTGACGTCATAATGTATGTTTAATATTATGTAGATATACAAATCACAATTCTATGAAATAAAATTACTGCTTATTACTGGGCGACGTTTCGACTAGGCTTCTCTAGCCATTATCAAGCAACGTCAGTAATAAGCAGTAATTGTATCCCATAGAATTGTCACCTGTATACTCTAGTTCAATTACTAAATTCCATTGAAATAATTAAATGTAGATATGTTTATATATTTGTAGGAACCCGAATTTAGTTGGACACCAGAAACAGTTGGTATAGTTGATAGTTCCTTCTTTTGGGGGTATATAATAACCCAGATACCAGGGGGATACCTAGCGTCAAGATTACCTGCTAATCGGTGAGTGTATACCTTGACTACATTAGCGAATGTTTGTTTCTAGGTGCATCTGATATTCACAAAACATATTGATTTGTTAATCCGTAGACATTTTACATGCAAATATTTTTGAAAAAAGCCGTTTTGTATGAATCTCAATGAATCTCGTATAATTTATCATATGTTTGGCCGGTATGATCAGGTTGGTGCTATTGGCCGGTATGATCAGGTTGGTGCTATTGGCCGGTATGGTCAGGTTGGTGCTATTGGCCGGTATGGTCAGGTTGGTGCTGTTGGCCGGTATGGTCAGGTTGGTGCTGTTGGCCGGTATCGCCAGGTTGGGGCTGATTTGCCATGAAACAACATTTCATGGGACCATAAAAAAAGGGAAACGCAAATTGATTTAATCTGACATAACATTTTCAAAGAAAGGTCTAGTCTGTGATTAATTACATTTTTAAGGTTATAGTCTCTGAACTTCATTTCAAGGATTTTGAATCCTTTGCGAATTACGATATTGAGAATTGAGAGAGAGAGAGAGAGGGAGAGAGAGCGAGAGAGAGAGAGAGAGATGGGGAAAGAAAGGGTGGGGTTAACACCCACTAGGTCATTTCAGGACTAACATAAGGTTCCATTTTATTTCAATAATTCGCTTGTGTGTAGGGGTCTTTAAAGTGGGGGAAACCGGAGGACCCGGAGAAAACCCACAAAGTTGGACAGGCGACCCTACTCCTTGACACGTACAAACGGGGATTCAAAACCACACCACATGACTCAATGACAGGCCTTGTGATCTACTCGCACGCCGCGCGTTAAGCCATTCGCCCAATCCCCGGAGAAAGTTGAATATCAGTCTAAATGAATATAAATGAAATGGGGTTTAACGTCCTACTGTTCTGCTCCGACTGGGCTAATGAAGACGGCAATACGCCATACAGTGTACTATGGGGGAAATTGTGCCCGGACAGCGGCGCTACTGCCTACTCTTATATCGAATTCCTACCAAGGGATCTTTTACGTGCACGCCATTGTGTACACGGGACATCGATTTGCCGTCCCATCTGAACGACTAATGATTTGAGTACATTAGCTTTATGTCAATGTCCGAAAAATGACAATGGCCATCAGCAACTTTAAAGATACATTATTATGTTTGAGCTAAATCTGTCTATTGCAGGTGTTTCTTTTCGATTCAAATGTTACATGAATTATTAATTAGACAACTTTTTAGTCCATCTGATCTGAACACCCGCGAGACTTAAAAATGTAACGATAAACTGGATAATGGAGACTTAGTCTCAATTGTAAAGTCCCTTTGCTACATCTACGCTACATCTTCAAACAGTCATAACCCCCCCCCCGCCAGAATAAAGTAATTTGAATGAAATTTTCAATATATTGATTTTTCATTATCTATTTTTGAACTATTATAGCAAGAGCAGTCACCTCTTTAGCTAAATGGTTGTACGTGACAAGGAGTAGGGTCGCCTGTCCAACCTCGTGGTTTTTCTCCGGGTATTCCGGTTTCCTTCCACTGCTAAAGACCCATACGCGCAAGCGGAATTATTGAAATAAAACTGAACCATGTGTTTGTCCCGAAATGACCTAGTTTGTGTTGAGTGGATGTTAAACCCCATTTTATTTTTTCTCTCTCTCGCTTTAGCTAAATCTTGCATAATGTATCTTTAAGCGATAACTTTAAAATGCTTGGATACAGCAGTATTTATAATGATAATGATGATAATACTACTAATAATAATAATCAATTTGTATAGCGCTGAGTGATCCAGCTAACAAACTGCTCCATGGCGCTCTTCACACTTAAAATTCATACAATGTAAAACAATACATCTAAAACATTAAAATATCAACATGTTCATAGTTTAAAAAGTTCAGTTTTAAGATTCTTTTAAAAAAAAAACCCCAGCAACATTAAAAAAAGCCAGCAACATTAAAAAAAAGTCTTTTACATGACTAGGTAATTCATTCAACGCGATAGCAGAGGCGTAAACAAAGATCCGTTTACCAGTTGTTCCGGTAAGATAGACCCTTAGGGATATCATATATTCGACAAACATTGTCCTAGAAAAGTTTCATATGGATAATTTTAATTATATCTTGGTTTTTATATCTCACACCAAAATCTTCCGAGATTAAAAAGTTAAAAAAAAACCCAGAGAAGTAAATATTAATTAATTTTTTGTGGCATATTTTATACTGTTTTATTGAAAAAAAAAACCCAACAAAATGATTAAAACGCAGATTCTGATAAACAATTTCCATTTAGGATTTTCTTTTTAATTTCACACAGATCTTACACTGTCACTGCTAGACTATTTTTTTTTGTCTCTGAACTACTAGTTTATTCGAGATCATTTAAATTACATGTTTCGGTCATATTATCTCGTTCTAGTCATTCGGATAGGACGAAAAACCGAGGACCTGTGTATACATTGACGTGCACGTAAAAGATCCCTTGGCAGTTGGAATTCGATATAAGAGTAGGCCATGGTGCCGCTGCCCGGGGAAAATTTCCCTCATAGCACACTGTATGGTGTATGCCCGTCTTCATTAGCGCAGTTTAGGAGCAGAATAGTTGACGTTAAACTCGTTAAAATTAGATTTTATTATGTAAAGTTATGTTATAGTTAAAGTTATGTTAAAGTAAAGTAAATTTAATTAGATTTTATTATGTAAAGTTAGATCTTAATTCATTAAATTGGCCTATGTTAAAGTTATGTTAATCCATTATGTTAATATATATATTGGAGGGGGTTGGATGGCTGAATGGTTAGCGTGCGCGCGCTGTATCATAAAGTCTGTCATTGAGTCGACTGGCATGGTTTCGAATCCCCGGTTGTACGTGACAAGGAGTAGGGTCGCCTGTCCAACCTCGTGGGTTTTATCCGGGTCCTCCGGTTTCCTCCCACAGCTAAAGACCCCTACGCGCAAGCGAATTATGTAAATAAAATTAAACCATATGTTAGTCCTGAAATGACCTAGTTTTTGTCGAGTGGACGTTACACCCCATTTCTCTGTCTCTCTCATGTATATTGGAGTTATTATTTTGTGTATTGGAGTTATTATTTTGTGTATTGGAGTTATTATTTTGTGTATTGGAGTTGTTATTCATATGATAATGAGAGAATCTCCTACGAGACTTTTTGATATAAAAAAGAACGAGTAGGAGATTTTTTTTAACCACTCAATCCTTTCTTACATGCACAAATAAATAAATATAATTCTTTGCTACAGATTTCACTTGTACTGAACCTGATTACATTACGGCGTAGTGATACATCATTTTTTGACAGCAATTCAACCATTGCAAAGTCCTTTATATTGACCCAGTGTTCCTCAATGTCAATTAAATAAAAATAGTTCATGTTTAATAAAAAAAAGAAGTTACTTTTAATAAAAAAAATGAACTGTTCTTTTAAAATAAAAAAAGGAGTCCCTTTTTAACTGACCAATTAAATTCATTTTATGCGATATCTCCTTAGTAGATTATGAAATTTACCACACAAGCGATATCTACTGTAGAATGTATTATTGGGTGATAAATCTTTTATTCCGTGTGATAAAATTCCTGTGATAAATTTATAAATTTGTTATTCTGTTGGATACATTTGTTATTCTTTTGGACAAATGTGCTATTCTGTATTCCGTTGGATAAATTTGTTATTATAAATTTGTTATTCTGTTGGATAAATATGTTATTCTGTTGGATAAATTTGTTATTCTGTTGGATAAATTTGTTATTCTTGTTATTCTGTTGGATAAAATTGTTATTTTTGTTTCAAATTTCAGATTGTTTGGTTTAGCTATTGGTATATCTTCCTTTCTGAATCTATTTTTACCTGGGGCAGCCACGGTACATTATGGCATGGTTATTACAGTTAGGATTCTACAAGGTCTAGTGGAGGTAGGTTTTCATAATAATGTTAATACTATTTAAAACGACTCGCCAAGAAAATGTTAGAAATCATCATCATCATCAGCAGCATCATCATGAAACATACATGATGATCATGTGACCTACATTGTCAGATGATCATGTGACCTACATTGTCAGATGATCATTTGACCTACATTGTCAGATGATCATTTGACCTATCATTATCATGAGACCTACATTGACAGATCATCATGTGACCTATCATCATCATGTGACCTACATTGTCAGATGATCATGTGACCTACATTGTCAGGTGACATCCAAGTTTCAGTACATTGTTTTTATTGGTTTATTGTGAGTTTGAATCCCGCTTGGTTTATTTCAGGGAGTGACGTATCCAGCTTGTCATGGTATATGGAGACATTGGGCTCCTCCTTTAGAGCGATCTAAATTAGCAACTATATCATTCTGTGGTAAGTCGAGTCAAGACTCTTTATAAAGTTCTGTGAAGATTAGAATCATTTTGACGTAAATGTTCAAATATAAAGAGAAATGTGAGTTTAACGTCCACTCGACACAAACTAGTTTATTTCGGGACTAACACGTGGTTCAATTTTATTTCAATAGTTCGCTTGTGCGTAGGGTTCTTTAGCAGTTGGAGGAAATCGGAGGACCCGGAGAAAACCTACGAGGATGGACAGGCGACCCTACTCCTTGTCATGTACAATTGGGGATTATAAACCATGCCACTTGACTCAATGACAACCCTGATGATACACCCACACGCGTTAAACCATTCGCCCCCACCCCTTCGGCCTCCGCCCTGTAAAAATTTATAACAACAATAAGTCAATATCAATATCTAAATAGTACGTTACCATCGATCATTTTGTCGCAAAGGCTCGAATGAAGACTTTTGCTGTCCTCCGGTTTCCTCCCACTGCTAAAGACCCCTACGCGCAAGCGAATTATGGAAATAACATTGAACCATATGTTAGCCCCGAAATGACCTAGTTTGTATATAGTGGGCGTAACCCTCTTTCTCTCTCTCTCTCTGTCTCTCTCTCTCTCTCTCTCTCTCCATCTCTCTCGAACGCTACCTTAGCTGCGGTAATATTGAAAAGTTAACGTAAATATATCAGCAGTTCGTTACCACATACCATTTCGTCGTAAAATCCCGAACGCTGCCTTTTGTTGCAGTACATGTAATAGTGAAAAGCTGGCGCATGGACAGTCACGAAAAACAAATTTGTCAAATATGAACTCTATTCTTTTCATGATGTCCATCAAAGGCGGGATAAAATAAGTGATTGAGTTAAAAGATGAGCGTGAAAAATAATTTATTTTATGTGAATAATGATTTTTTTACCATGGAAATAATTAAAACCAATTAAGAGGCACGAAGATGATAAATTTGTTTTCAGTGAAAATCTATTATCGTAAATATAAGTTTAGACAGATCTGGGGGGAAATTTAATCAACGACATAATTTATCTTAAAGGGGAAATATATGACTTTGACGACGACACGATAAATTTCCGATTTGACACGCACTCATTAGACTGTGTGTGACAAAATTAAAGAGTCTATCGCCAATCCATTTCTTGTGTATTTATGTGTTTATATATCTATTTATATATATATATTAGATATATTTATTAGCGTCCAACAGTAATATCAGTGCTCATGAGCATTAATACTAGTGCTCATGAGCAAGTGCCCTTGATACAATAACATTTGAACCCTGCTTTCTGCAAATTTATTCCATGAGAAATATCTTTGATCCAGAAACACAAAAATTTCTTATTGATGTATTTGATACATTAAAACAACACAAGTTTTAAAAAGGGCTATATTTTAGTTAAAATAAGGAGAGCAATTTTGAGTAAATTCTTAACTTTAGTCTGAGAATGCCTGGTCTTATTGGGTTGTCCCGTTCATTTACTGGTCTATGAGAGCTTAATCGAGGTCTAAATCTTTATAAAAAACAACATTAATGGCGGATGATTTATCGTCAACACAAAGTTGTATAATTTCAATTCGTAGAAATATTTTATTTTTTCTTAAGAATATAAAACATTCAATAGTTGAGACTGTGACGAAACCGTAACCAAGGGCACCCAGGGCTTTAAAGTCCAATTGTTAACTAATACATTTGATGGCTCATCAATTTTGCAGAACATTGTCACTGCGTAATCTTGTCTATCGTTCTCTCTGACAACCAGTCTTACATTGTTAATTAAAGTTGGTCTGCAGACGATCAAGAGTTTGATTAATGTCAGATTAGTATCGATCGAATCCTCTCCCATCTATTTTGGTTGTAATTGAAATTAAAAACACTGAACTGTAAGTTTATAAACGAGCTTTTATTTGATTGAAGAATTAAGCGAGCCTGAGTCCTGTAAAACGTAACGTTAATCACCCTTCTGAACACCAGAATCGTAAAAGGTTAAACAAAAGTAATGTGTTTCCAAGAAAAGGATCTTTTTGTGACAGTCGCATGAAGACATCTATCTCCATGGCTTTGGTATTTTTGTGAAACGATTTTGAAAACTAATTGCTGTTCCTTGTAGCTAATTTAATTTTAACATCAGCAGGCATCCATTAACTTTCCTTTGTACATTCAAATGAAATGAATCACAATATCGTGTCGTTTTTAACTTCCGGGGATCTAATTGCGCATGACCTGGTGCCTGTAAAAGATTTTAAAGGATAAAACTACCTTAATCGGATTTGATATTGAAAATAGGAAAGAAAAGAAAAACGATCAATTGACAGCTATTGAAAATATTACGGAAGATTTATTGGTGTTTTAACTTTACAAATTTAATTCACGCCATCAGTAATTACAAAAAAAAGAGAACAACTCTAGAAGAACAAACATAATAATCGCTTAACCCTTGTGCGTAAACAAGGGGATATTTCAGGACCCTATGACCACATCCTTAACGTTTGTGAGGAACTGGTTCATAATTGTCTAGCGAGAATTTTATACTTTGTCAGCTACTTAATGTTGGGTATAATGCTGCAAATAGAACGGAAGTGAAGCAGTTCCAACATTCATCATTTGACAAGAAACTGCGAGTATTACATTATCGGACACAAGGGGTCTTGTGGAGCCCCCTCCATTTTCCTGTCAACATTTTACTGGTTACAAGTGTCTTATCTGCTATGTGCTCGGTACTAGCTTTGTATTTAGAATCTTTCTTACTGATAATATTGGGTTGGTCATTCTAGTAATCTAGATCTGAAAGCAAATCTAGGTACTCTACCAACTCCATCAAAAGACGATTCTACATGTAAATGACAATTAAGTTACTTGTAGATTTGTACGGTTTCAAAAATTCCTTATTATTCATATCGTGAATGTTAATACCTCATATATATATTTTTTTACTCTGATTGATTATTATCCAGTCTTTTTATGAAGCTGTAGTTTCATCGTATTTGGATAAAATTATGCATCCACAAACCAATTAACCCTTGTTTCCGACATGGTTTTCGTGCGACGTGTCCGGACAAGGGTTAATATAAAAAAAAACGCCCCCATATAAAGTGATTAATCGAGAATTTGTTTTTTTTAATGATCAAGACTAGGCCTGAAATTAAATAGCTAATATCTCGGTTCAGAGTAAAGTAATTTGACTGAAATTTTCAGCATTTTCTCTTTTTAACTATTATAGCGAGAACTGTCAGTTCTTGATCTAATCTCCCATAATGACCCTTTAAACTGTTTTCTGTATGCGTATATATCTATTTTTGGTGTTAAATGGCTTTATAGTTCTCTTCTAAATTGTCAGGGCCTTTTTCCATTTGAAGTTGAAGAATATTTTATTGAAATAATCGAGCTGTGAAACTCCAAGTCCTTCATGAAGGAATAAACTAGAAGACACAACAACCCTATTTCCGTTTCAATTCTTCAAGTCTGCTTTTACAATATTTAATTGCAATTATTTACTGGTTTCGACCTGTTGTGTTAAAGCTACTTGATGACGTCAGAAGTGCTTTAAGAAATTTGATCCCGCGCGAAAACACTCGATTCTGTAACCTTCATTTCCGCGCCAAATCTTGTCTCATCTGTGTCTTTGTTTGCTTGGTGAAATTAAGCTTTTTTTATCAGCCAGACTAAATCGTGGTTTTTACTTTATAGAATAGAATTTAAGATGTGTTTTTCTTCTATTCTGTTGACTTCTGAATATCAAAGTAGTTCATCCTTCAGTGCTGTTTTAATTAAGTACAAGCAAAACGACGACCCACACTCACTTGTAAGATTCGTCACTTCCGTTTGCAAATCGTTAAAAATTTGAATTATAGACGTTATCAACCACTGGCGTCCAGTGGTCTTTTAACAGGCTGCACTTCGGGATCTTCAGAAAGACTGGAAATCTCTTGATTTCATAAATCTATGGCGGCTTCAGATCACGATTAAGAATGTAGACCTGTTCAGATTCTGATGCCTTGTTAGTAGCTGAAATTGAGGCGTGGGGTGGGGGGTGGATCGGGGGTGGATCGGGGGTGGATGGAGGTGGACAATCGAGTGGTCTAACAGGATTAAGTTTTTCCATCAATTAATATTAAACAAAATTGTCCTGGATATCCAACCATTTTCACGCTATTCTAATCGCACACTGCCATTGAAAGTACGTTGATACATTATGGTTTATACCAAGGATCTGAAATTTTGACATTTTGGACATTACCGAAGTTTACCCCCCCCCCCAACCTTTACATAAATCAAATACACCGTGGCCATGCCATAACTCCCTCATTCACCATATTTGGTCATACCGATCATTAATTATTTTTTTTTATTTCAGGATCGTATGCCGGAGCTGTATTAGGCATGCCCTTGTCTGGTGTGTTAACACAATATTTAGGTTGGCAATCTGGTTTCTACGTCTTCGGTAAGTTTTTTTTCATCATCATCATCATCACCATCATCATCATCATGTACACCATGATCTCGCTGATGTCAAATAAATCATCATCATCATCATCATCATCATCATGTACACCAACACAGACAATATCATCATCTAATTACCATTATTCTACGTCTCCCTGATGTCAAATAAGAAAAAAATTAATTTGTCCCTTTGCTGACAATTACAATTTGCTTGGAAAAAGTCGATACTCATTTTAGTATTTGTTAGCATAAAATGAAATGAAATGGGGTTTAACGTCCTATTGCTCTGCTCCGACTGGGCTGATGAAGACGGGAATACGCATATTCATATCGAATTCCATCAGCCAACGGATCTTTTACGTGCACGCAAATCTGTACATGGGACCTCGGTGTTAGTATGAGAATATATTGTATACGTCTTCCCTAGCCCAGTCGAGGCAGAACAGTAAGACGTTAAACCCAATTTCATTTCATATCTAACTTACAAAACTAAAACTAAAATTACTTAGAATTTGCAATTTGCTTGGAAAAAAATTACTTAAAAACTAAAACTAAAATTACATAGAATTTGCAATTACTATTTGCTTGGAAAAACATAATTTACAAAATGAGCCATTATTTTTAGTATTTGTTAGTATGACGATAGGCTGTATTGGCATTGCAGAAACTCGTCATAACATTCCATTCATTTCCCATTGCTTTCAATTCGTGTTGATGGATTTCTCCCTAAATCCACATCGAAAACTAAAACGTGCTTTAAAGCATGATTGTCTACAACTGTGGGAAGATCTGGAATATGTTTTCAATGGAACAGTAAGACCATGGCATGGTAGTAAGTGGCAGAGTGATGGCTTCTTTTGATAAAAGTCACATAAAAAAATAACCGATGACATTTGTAGATGTAAAAATTAATTATTGTAGTATTTGTGATCGATATTTCTGTCTTATCTTTTTCCACATTAATAAAACCTGGCATTTCTCTCTGGATTATAGTACATAATTATGTTCCATAAAACGAAATAAAATGGGGTTTAACGACCTACTTTCCTGCTCCGACTGGGCTAATGACGACGGACATACGCCATATAGTGTGCTATGAGTGAGATTTTGCCAGGACAGCGGCACTACGACCTACTTTTATTTCGAATTCCATTTGTCATGGGATCTTTTACGTGCACGCCAAGGTGTTTACGGGACTTCGATTATTCGCCCCATCCGAACAACTGCTTCATTAAGCTGTTCGAAAAGGCACAGCGGTTACCGCGGCAAATGTCTGACCACCCGTGTTCCTGTAAGATGCTCACTCTGAGTGGGTTGGTGGTTTCGACCCCAAGCTTGTATGTAACAAGGGGGGTTGGATGGCTGAATGGTTAGCGTGCGCGCGCTGTATCATAAAGTCTGTCATTGAGTCGACTGGCGTGGTTTCGAATCCCCGGTTGTACGTGAAAAGGAGAAGGGTCGCCTGTCAAACCTCGTGGGTTTTCTCCGGGTCCTCCGGTTTCCTCCCACTGCTAAAGACCCCTACGCGCAAGCAAATTATTGAAATAAAATATGTTAGTCCCGAAATGACCTAGTTTGTGTCGAGACGTTAAACCCCATTTCTCTCTCTCTCTCTCTCTGTATGTGACAACGGTTGCCTGTACAACCTCGTGCGGTTTTTCCGGGTATTCCGGGTGCTTCACACTGCTAATGAAAGCGATTTATTGAAATAAAATTGACCCCGAAGTAACCTAATTTGTGCTGAGTTGACGTTAAACCCCATTTCTCTCAAATTATTGATCGCATTAGAACGGGTTACGTTTTCCCTTTAAGAATGACCTAAACAGAAATTCCCTTATTCATCCACAGTTCATTATTTTCTCACTTTTCTTCATCTTGTTCCATCAAATTCTCCACTTCTCCTCTCGCCATCTCCCTGGATTGTCAGCAAATATCTTAGTGAAAGCCGAACCCCAATAAACCTCTTCAAAGTCGATACAGACGCTTTCACACAACGCCATTAACAATCATAGAGAAGTTGTCGGTAATGACAATATCAAGACCCACGAAAATTATCTTTAAAACATCTTCTAACATTACCGAAGAAAATTCTCTCCATGGCACTTTATATTAAGTCTTGGTACTTGTGTTTTAAAAGTGCTGTTTGTTGTTATTAGTTATGAAGTGAGGAAGAGGGTTTTTTTTCTAGGACATTCAGCGCTGTTAAAGCGGGGCACTATAGTTTTATCACCAGGCTAATATAAAGCGACAGTAATTTGAAGGACAAAAAGCTTTGAAATGCCTTAAAACATTTATTGATTTTTGTGGGGGTTTTCGTACCTCGTTGATTATGATAAAAGTGAACGATTTTGTGCATCATACAAGGAAACACAGAGAGAGAGAGAGAGAGAGAGAGAGGGGAGTTCACATTCGTCGGTTACGTCAAATACCGATCATCATTACAGGGTGTTGCATGAAATAAATACAATGTGAAGACTAAATGTACTGGGAGAGAAAGAATTGGAGTTTAAAATCCACTCGACACAAGCTGGGTAATTTCGGGACTAACATATGGTTCAATTTTATTTCAATAATTCGCTTGCGCGTAGGGGTCTTTAGCAGTGGGAGGAAACCAGAGGACCCGGGGAAA